ACCAGTGCTAGGATAACACCAGTGCTAGGATAACACCCGTGCTAGGATAGCACCAGTGCTAGGATAACACCCGTGCTAGGATAACACCAGTGCTAGGATAACACCCGTGCTAGGATAACACCAGTGCTAGGATAACATCAGTGCTAAGATAACATCAGTACTAGGATAACATCAGTGCTTGGATATCATCAGTGCTAGGATAACATCAGTGCTAAGATATCACCAGTGCTAGGATAACACTAGTGATAGGATAACATCAGTGCTATGATAACACCAGTGATAGGAAAACACCAGTGCTAGGATAACACCAGTGTTAGGATAACATCAGTGCTAGGATATCATCAGTGCTGGGATAACACTAGTGATAGGATAACATCAGTGCTAGGGTAATATCAGTTCTAGGATAACACCAGTGCTAGGATAACATCAGTTCTAGGATAACACCAGTGCTAGGATAACATCAGTTCTAGGGTAACACCAGTGCTAGGATAACATCAGTTCTAGGGTAACACCAGTGCTAGGATAACATCAGTTCTAGGGTAACACCAGACGTGGAATATTTCCAGCACTAAGATAACTCCAGTAAAAATAATACGGGTAGGATAGCATCAAGATATAGTGAGTCAGTAGAGGCAGGTAAGATAGCACCAAGATATAGAGGGTCAGTAGAGGCAGGTAGGATAGCACCAAGATATAAGGGGTCAGTGGAGGCAGGTAGGATAGCATCAAGATATAGTGAGTCAGTAGAGGCAGGTAGGATAGCACCAAGATATAGGAGGTCAGTAGAGGCAGGTAGAATAGCACCAAGATATAGGGGTCAGTAGAGGCAGGTAGGATAGCACCAAGATATAGAGGGTCAGTAGAGGCAGGTAGGATAGCACCAAGATATAGAGGGTCAGTAGAGGCAGGTAGGATAGCACCAAGATATAGGGGGTTATCTTGAGGTTATCTTGAGATGATTTCGGGGCTTTTTAGTGTCCCCGCGGCCCGGTCCTCGACCAGGCCTCCACCCCCAGGAAGCAGCCCGTGACAGCTGACTAACAGCCAGGTACCTATTTTACTGCTAGGTAACAGGGGCATAGGGTGAAAGAAACTCTGCCCATTGTTTCTCGCCGGTGCCTGGGATCGAACCCAGGACCACAGGATCACAAGTCCATCGTGCTGTCCGCTCGGCCGACCGGCTCCCGGTCGGCCGGTAGGATAGCACCATGATATAGGTCAGTAGATGCAGGTAGGATAGCACCAAGATATATATGGTCAGTAGAGGCAGGAAAGATAGCACCAAGATATAGGGGGTCAGTAAAGGCAGGTAGGATAGCACCAAGATATACGTCAGTAGAGACAGGTAAGATAGCACCAAGATATAAGGGGTAAGTAGAGGCAGGTAGGATAGCACCAAGATATAGGGGGTCAGTAGAAACAGATATGATAGCACCAAGATATAGGGGGTCAGTAGAGACAGGTAGGATAGCACCAAGATATAAGGGGTCAGTAGAGACAGGTAGGATAGCACCAAGATATAGGGGGTCAGAAGAGACAGGTATGATAGCACCAAGATATAAGGGGTCAGTAGAGACAGGTAGGATAGCACCAGGATATAGAGGGTCAGTAGAGGCAGGTAAGATAGCACCAAGATATAGGGGGTCAGAAGAGACAGGTAGGATAGCACCAAGATATAGGGGGTCAGTAGAGGCAAGTAGGATAGCACCAAGATATAGGGGATCAGTAGAGGCAGGTGGGATAGCACAAATATATAGGTCAGTAGAGACATGTAGGATAGCACAAAGATATAAGGAGTAAGTAGAGGCAGGTACGATAGCACCAAGATATAGGGGTCAGAAGAAACAGATAGGATAGCACCAAGATATAGAGGGTCAGTAGAGACAGGTAGGATAGCACCAAGATATAGAGGGTCAGTAGAGGCAGGTAGGATAGCACCAAGATATAGGGGGTCAGTAGAGTCAGGTACGATAGCACCAAGATATAGTTGGTCAGTAGACTGGTAGGATAGCACCAAGATATAGGGGGTCAGTTAAGACATGTAGGATAGCACCAAGATATAGGGAGTCAGTAGAGGCAGGTAGGATAGCACCAAGATATAGGTCAGTTCGACAGGTAGGATAGCACCAAGATATAGGTCAGTAGAGGCAGGCAGGATAGCACCAAGATATAGGAGGTCAGTAGAGGCAGGTAAGATAGCATCAAGATATAGAGGGTCAGTAGAGACAGGTAGGATAGCACCAACATATAGGGAGTCAGTAGAAACAGGTAGGATAGCACCAAGATATAGAGTCAGCAGATTCAGGTAAGATAGCATCAAGATATAGAGGGTCAGTAGAGACAGGTAGGATAGCACCAAGATATAGGGGGTCAGTAGAAACAGATAGGATAGCACCAAGATATGGGGGGTCAGTAGAAACAGATAGGATAGCATCAAGATATAGATCAGTAGAGACAGGTAGGATAGCACCAAGATATAGGGGGTCAGTAGAGGCAGGTAGGATAGCACCAAGATATAGAGGGTCAGTAGAGGCAGGTAAGATAGCACCAAGATATAGGAGGTCAGTAGAGGCAGGTAGGATAGCACCAAGATATAGGAGGTCAGTAGAGGCAGGTAAGATAGCAACAAGATATAGAGGGTCAGTAGAGGCAGGTAAGATAGCACCAAGATATAGAGGGTCAGTAGAGGCAGGTAAGATAGCACCAAGATATAGAGGGTCAGTAGAGGCAAGTAGGATAGCACCAAGATATAGAGGGTCAGTAGAGGCAGGTAAGATAGAACCAAGATATAGGAGGTCAGTAGAGGCAGGTAAGATAGCACCAAGATATTGAGGGTCAGTAGAGGCAGGTAAGATAGCACCAAGATATTGAGGGTCAGTAGAGGCAGGTAAGATAGCAGCAAGATATAGAGGGTCAGTAGAGGCAGGTAGGATAACAGCAAGATATAGAGGGTCAGTAGAGGCCGGTAAGATAGCACCAAGATATAGGAGGTCAGTAGAGGCAGGTAAGATAGCACCAAGATATAGGAGGTCAGTAGAGGCAGGTAAGATAGCACCAAGATATTGAGGGTCAGTAGAGGCAGGTAAGATAGCAGCAAGATATAGAGGGTCAGTAGAGGCAGGTAGGATAACAGCAAGATATAGAGGGTCAGTAGAGGCCGGTAAGATAGCACCAAGATATAGGAGGTCAGTAGAGGCAGGTGAGATAGCACCAAGATATAGGAGGTCAGTAGAGGCAGGTAAGATAGCACAAAGTTATAGGGGGTCAGTAGAGACAGGTAGGATAGCACCAAGATATAGGAGGTCAGTAGAGGCAGGTAAGATAGCACAAAGTTATAGGGGGTCAGTAGAGGCAGGTAGGATAGCACCAAGATATAGAGGGTCAGTACAGGCAGGTAAGATAGCACCAAGATATAGGAGGTCAGTAGAGGCAGGTAAGATAGCACAAAGTTATAGGGGGTCAGTAGAGGCAGATAGGATAGCACCTAGATATAGCGAGTCAGTAGAGACTGGTAAGATAGCACCAAGATATAGAGGGTCAGTAAAGGAAGGTAGGATAGCACCAAGATATAGAGGGTCAGTAGGTACAGGTAGGATAGCACCAAGATATAGAGGGTCAGAAGAGACAGGTAAGATAGCACCAAGATATAGAGGGTCAGTAAAGGTAGGTAGGATAGCACTAAGATATAGGAGGTCAGTAGGTACAAGTAGGATAGCACCAAGATATAGGAGTTCAGTAGAGGCAGGTAGGATAGCACCAAGATATAGGGGGTCAGTAGAGGCAGGTAGGATAGCACCAAGATATAGGAGGTCAGTAGAGGCAGGTAAGATATCACCAAGGTATAGGAGGTCAGTACAGGCAGGTAAGATATCACCAAGATATAGAGGGTCAGTAAAGGAAGGTAGGATAGCACCAAGATATAGGAGTTCAGTAGGTACAGGTAGGATAGTACCAAGATATAGAGGGTCAGTAGAGGATGGTAGGATAGCACCAAGATATAAGAGGTCATTAGAGACAGGTAGGATAGCACCAAGATATAGGGAGTCAGTAGAGGCAGGTAGGATAGCACCAAGATATAGAGAGTCAGTTGAGACAGGTAAGATAACACCAAGATATAGAGGGTCAGTAGAGGCAGGTAGGATAGCACCAAGATATAGAGAATGACTAGAGGCAGGTAGGATAGCACCAAGATATAGGAGGTCAGTAGACGAAGGTAGGATAGCACCAAGATATAGGGAGTCAGTAGAGGCAGGTAGGATAGCACCAAGATACAGGCAGTCAGTAGAGGCAGGTAGGATACCACCAAGATATGGAGGGTCAGTAAAGACAGGTAAGATAACGCCAAGATATAGGGAGTCAGAAGAGCCAGGTAGGATAGCACCAAGATATAGAGGGTCAGGAGAGCCAGGTAGGATAGCACCAAGATATAGAGGGTCAGGAGAGCCAGGTAGGATAGTACCAAGATATAGAGGGTCAGGAGAGCCAGGTAGGATAGTACCAAGATATAGAGGGTCAGTAGAGCCAGGTAGGATAGCACCAAGATATAGAGGGTCAGGAGAGCCAGGTAGGATAGCACCAAGATATAGAGGGTCAGGAGAGCCAGGTAGGATAGCACCAAGATATAGAGGGTCAGGAGAGCCAGGTAGGATAGCACCAAGATATAGAGGGTCAGGAGAGCCTGGTAGGATAGCACCAAGATATAGAGGGTCAGTAGAGCCAGGTAGGATAGCACCAAGATACAGAGGGTCAGTAGAGACAGGTAGGATAGCACCAAGATATAGAGGGTCAGTAGAGACAGGTAGGATAGCACCAAGATATAGAGGGTCAGTAGAGACAGGTAGGATAGCACCAAGATACAGAGGGTCAGTAGAGACAGGTAGGATAGCACCAAGATATAGAGGGTCAGTAGAGACAGGTAGGATAGCACCAAGATATAGAGGGTCAGTAGAGACAGGTAGGATATCACAGCACTAGGGAAGGAAGAGCAGCTGAAACAATACCTTGGAGGGCGTGCGAGGGTCGCGGGCGGACCGGCGCGCGTGTGTCCCACTCCGCGTCTGGACCCGTACTGAAGCTGAACCGCCTGTCTCCCCTAGTACCCCAATCCCCCAAGGTGCATCCCCATCAGTCACCCCTAGTACAACCCCCCCCAGGTGCATCCCCACCAGTCACCCCTAGTACAATCCCCCCAGGTACATCCCCACCTGTCACCCATAGTACAACCCCCCAGGTGCATCCCCACCTGTCATTCCTAGTACCACCCCCCCCAGGTGCATCCCCACCAGTCACCCCTAGTACACCCCCCCCAGGTACATCCCCACCTGTCACCCATAGTACCACCCCCCCAGGTGCATCCCCACCTGTCACCCCTAGTACCACCCCCAGGTGCATCCCCACCTGTCACCCCTAGTACCACCCCCAGGTGCATCCCCACCTGTCACCCCTAGTACCCCCCCCCCAGGTGCATCCCCACCTTTCACCCCTAGTACCACCCCCCCCAGGTGCATCCCCACCAGTCACCCCTAGTACAACCCCCCCCAGGTACATCCCCACCTGTCACCCATAGTACCACCCCCCAGGTGCATCCCCACCTGTCACCCCTAGTACCACCCCCAGGTGCATCCCCACCTGTCACCCCTAGTACCACCCCCAGGTGCATCCCCACCTGTCACCCCTAGTACCACCCCCAGGTGCATCCCCACCTGTCACCCCTAGTACCACCCCCCCAGGTGCATCCCCACCTTTCACCCCTAGTACCACCCCCAGGTGCATCCCCACCAGCCACCCCTAGTACCATCCCCAGGTGCATCCCCACCAGTCACCCCTAGTACAACCCCCCCAGGTGCATCCCCACCTGTCACCCCTAGTACCACCCCCCAGGTGCATCCCCACCTGCCACGCCTAGTACCACCCCCCAGGTGCATCCCCACCAGTCACCCCTAGTACCACCCCCAGGTGCATCCCCGCCTGCCACCCCTAGTACCACCCCTCAGGTGCATCCCCACCTGTCACCCCTAATACCACCCCCCAGATGCATCCCCACCTGTCACCCCTTGTACCACCCCCAGGTGCATCCCCACCTGTCACCCCTAGTACCCCCCCCAGGTGCATCCCCACCAGTCACCCCTAGTACAACCCCCCCCAGGTGCATCCCCACCTGTCACCCCTAGTACCACCCCTGCAGGTGCATCCCCACCTGTCACCCCTAGTACCACCCCCCAGGTGCATCCCCACCTGTCACCCCTAGTACCACGACCTAGGTGCATCCCCACCTGTCACCCCTAGTACCACCCACCAGGTGCATCCCCACCTGTCACCCCTAGTACCACCCCCAGGTGCATCCCCACATGTCACTCCTAGTACCACCCCCAGGTGCATCCCCGCCTGTCACCCCTAGTACCACCCCTAGTACCACCCCCAGGTGCATCCCCACCTGTCACCCCTAGTACCACCCCCAGGTGCATCCCCGCCTGTCACCCCTAGTACCACCCCTAGTACCACCCCCAGGTGCATCCCCACCTGTCACCCCTAGTACCACCCCCAGGTGCATCCCCGCCTGCCACCCTTAATACCACCCACCAGGTGCATCCCCACCTGTCACCCCTAGTACCACCCCGCCTGTCACCCCTAGTACCACCCCGAGGTGCATCCCCGCCTTCCACCCCTAGTACCACCCCTCAGGTGCATCCCCACCTGTCACCCCTAGTACCACCCCCCAGGTGCATCCCCCCCCTGTCACCCCTAGTACCACCCCCCAGGTGCATCCCCACCTGTCACCCCTTGTACCACCCCCAGGTGCATCCCTACCTGTCACCCCTAGTACCCCCCCCAGGTGCATCCCCACCTGTCACCCCTAGTACCACCCCCCAGGTGCATCCCTACCTGTCACCCCTAGTACCACCCCCCAGGTGCATCCCCACCTGTCACCCCTAGTACCCCCCCCAGGTGCATCCCCACCTGTCACCCCTAGTACCACCCCCAGGTGCATCCCCACTTGTCACCCCTAGTACCACCCCCCAGGTGCATCCCCACCTGTCACCCCTAGTACCACCCCCCAGGTGCATCCCCACCTGTCTCCCCTAGTACCACCCCAGGTGCATCCCCTCCTGTCACCCCTAGTACAAACCCCCCCCCCAGGTGCATCCCTCCTGTCACCCCTAGTACCACTTCCCCCCCCCCCCCGGTGCATGTCCACCTGTCACCCCTAGTAGCACCCCCCAGGTGCATCCCCACCTGTCACCCCTAGTACCACCCTCCAGGTGCATCCCCACCTGTCATCCCTAGTACCCCACCAGGTGAATCCCCACCTGTCACCCTTAGTACCACCCCCCAGGTGCATCCCCACCTGACACCCCTAGTACCACCCCCGCAGGTGCATCCCCACCTGTCACCCCTAGTAGCACCCCCGCAGGTGCATCCCCACCAGTCACCCCTAGTACCACCCCCCAGGTGCATCCCCACCTGTCACCCCTAGTACCACCCCCCAGGTGCATCCCCACCTGTCACCCCTAGTACCCCCCCTAGGTGCATCCCCACCTGTCACCCCTAGTACCACCCCCCACGTGCATCCTCACCTGTCACCCCTAGTACCACCCCCCAGGTGCATCCCCACCTGTCACCCCTAGTACCACCCCCAGGTGCATCCCCACTTGTCACCCCTAGTACCACCCCCAGGTGCATCCCCGCCTGTCACCCCTAGTACCACCCCTAGTACCACCCCCAGGTGCATCCCCACCTGTCACCCCTAGTACCACCCCCAGGTGCATCCCCGCCTGCCACCCTGGTAAGAATGGTGGGGATGCACCCACCTGGTGGGGATGCACCCACCAGGTGCATCCCCACCTGTCACCCCTAGTACCACCCCGCCTGTCACCCCTAGTACCACCCCGAGGTGCATCCCCGCCTTCCACCCCTAGTACCACCCCTCAGGTGCATCCCCACCTGTCACCCCTAGTACCACCCCCCAGGTGCATCCCCCACCTGTCACCCCTAGTACCACCCCCCAGGTGCATCCCCACCTGTCACCCCTTGTACCACCCCCAGGTGCATCCCTACCTGTCACCCCTAGTACCCCCCCCAGGTGCATCCCCACCTGTCACCCCCTAGTACCACCCCCCAGGTGCATCCCTACCTGTCACCCCTAGTACCACCCCCCAGGTGCATCCCCACCTGTCACCCCTAGTACCCCCCCAGGTGGATCCCCACTTGTCACCCCTAGTACCACCCCCAGGTGCATCCCCACCTGTCACCCCTAGTACCACCCCCCAGGTGCATCCCCACCTGTCACCCCTAGTACCACCCCCCAGGTGCATCCCCACCTGTCTCCCCTAGTACCACCCCCCAGGTGCATCCCCTCCTGTCACCCCTAGTACAAACCCCCCCCCAGGTGCATCCCCACCTGTCACCCCTAGTACCACTTCCCCCCCGGTGCATGTCCACCTGTCACCCCTAGTAGCACCCCCCAGGTGCATCCCCACCTGTCACCCCTAGTACCACCCTCCAGGTGCATCCCCACCTGTCATCCCTAGTACCCCACCAGGTGAATCCCCACCTGTCACCCTTAGTACCACCCCCCCAGGTGCATCCCCACCTGACACCCCTAGTACCACCCCCGCAGGTGCATCCCCACCTGTCACCCCTAGTAGCACCCCCGCAGGTGCATCCCCACCAGTCACCCCTAGTACCACCCCCCCCACGTGCATCCTCACCTGTCACCCCTAGTACCACCCCCCAGGTGCATCCCCACCTGTCACCCCTAGTACCCCCCCAGGTGCATCCCCACCTGTCACCCCTAGTACCACCCCCATGTGCATCCCCACCTGTCACCCCTAGTACCCCCCCCAGGTGCATCCCCACCTGTCACCCCTAGTACCACCCCCACAGATGCATCCCCACCTGTAACCCCCTAGTACCACCCCCCAGATGCATCCCCACCTGTCACCCCTAGTACCCCACCCCCCAGGTGCATCCCCACCTGTCACCCCTAGTACCACTCCCAGGTGAATCCCCACCTGTCACCCCTAGTACCACCCCCCCAGGTGCATCCCCACCTGTCACCCCTAGTACCGCCCCCCCAGGTGCATCCCTACCTGTCACCCCTAGTAATACCCCTAGGTGCATCCCCACCTGCCACCCCCAGTACCACCCCCTGATGCATCCCCACCTGTCACCCCTAGTACCACCCCCTCAGGTGCATCCCCACCTGTCACCCCTAGTACCCCCCCCCAGGTGCATCCCCACCTGTCACCCCTAGTACCCCCAGGTGCATCCCCACCTATCACCCCTAGTACCCCCCCAGGTGCATCCCCACCTGTCACCCCTAGTACCACCCCCTCAGGTGCATCCCCACCTGTCACCCCTAGTACCCCCCCAGGTGCATCCCCACCTGTCACCCCTAGTACCCCCCCCAACAGGTGCATCCCCACCTGTCACCCCTAGTACCACCCCCAGGTGCATCCCCACCTGTCACCCCTAGTACCACCCCCAGGTGCATCCCCACCTGTCACCCCTAGTAATACCCCCCCAGGTGCACCCCCACCTGTCACCCCTAGTACCACCCCCAGGTGCATCCCCACCTGTCACCCCTAGTACCACCACCCAGGTGCATCCCCACCTGTCACCCCTAGTACCACCCCCCCAGGTGCATCCCCACCTGTCACCCTCTAGTACCCCCCCCCCCCAGGTGAATCCCCACCTGTCACCCCTAGTACCACCCCCAGGTGCATCCCCACCTGTCACCCCTAGTACCACCCCCCAGGTGCATCCCCACCTGTCACCCCTAGTACCCCCCAGGTGCATCCCCACCTGTCACCCCTAGTACCCCCCCCTCCCAGGTGCATCCCCACCTGTCACCCTCAGTACCACCCCCCAGGTGCATCCCCACCTGTCACCCTAAGTACCACCCCCAGGTGCATCCCCACCTGTCACCCGTAGTACCACCTCCCCAGGTACATCCCCACCTGTCACCCCTAGTACCACCCCCCCCAGGTGCATCCCCACCCTTCACTCCTAGTACCCCCCCCTCCAGGTGCATCCCCACCTGTCACCCCTAGTACCACC